TTGCACAGACAGTATGCGCAGTTTCACTCGTGATTGGAGGCTCGTGATTAGAGGAAGCCTGTTTGCAGAGACAGTATGGCAGTTTCACTCGTGATTGGAGGCTCATGATTGGAGGAAGCCTGTTTGCACAGACAGTATGGGCAGTTTCACTCGTGATTGGAGGCTCGTGATTAGAGGAAGCCTGTTTGCAGAGACAGTATGGGCAGTTTCATTCGTGATTGGAGGCTTGTGATTAGAGGAAGCCTGTTTGCAGAGACAGTATGGCAGTTTCACTCATGATTGGAGGCTCATGATTGGAGGAAGCCTGTTTGCAGAGTCAAGCTATTTCACTCGTGATTGGAGGCTCGTGATTAGAGGAAGCCTGTTTGCAGAGACAGTATGGCAGTTTCACTCATGATTGGAGGCTCATGATTGGAGGAAGCCTGTTTGCAGAGTCAAGCTATTTCACTCGTGATTGGAGGCTAGAAATAGGAGGAAGCCTGTTTGCGGAGACAAAGTATGGGCAGTTTTGCAACCGTGCGGTTCTCTCCTTGGCTTGCTTCCTTGAATAAGACGCCCTTCAATTTTTAGCGTAAGGATTTTAGAAAAAAGTATCATCTTATAGTCGGAAAAATACAGTACATCATCTGCATAAAGCAGTATAGTTATGGGCCTATTTACCAGTTTCAAGGGATGATGTTCGTACCCTGCTAGTGTATTAATATAATAAATAATATTGGGGCCAGGATACAATTAGGATCCTTGCTAATTGGCTTTACAGCTGAGAGATGGTCTGCTATGTTACATCTCACCCTGGGGCTGGTATTTGTATGAAGTGCACATAAAAGAGTGAGAAGATGTCTGTCAATTATAGAAGATTGTTCCAAAGGGTTTTCTGGAGTTTGAGCCAAAGGCCTGCTTGTGGTCTACAAAAAGAGCAAACACAGCTGTTTTTCAGTCAGGTGATCAAGCGCAGGGTGTCCTGCTCTAAATCCTGCCTGTCCCTCAGCTGTTAAGGTTCTCATCTTCCAGCTAGTCCAGAAGTTTCCAATACATTTTATCTGGCTTTTAGCTTACTGAAGTATTGATGTGACTTTGTGGATGATAATTAACTGGGTCATGTTTCTTACCTTTTTTAAATATAGAGATGATTAAAGTGAAAGCCCAGACACTAGGGATGCAGGTTGATGGTTAGTAATATAAAATTAATAACAAATACAACACATGAAAAAGACAATACAAAAATAATTTAAAACCATCAGTAATAGTAAAAACATCAGCATGGTAAAACCAGATATTTGCATTTATAGGAGATCTTAGCCTTGCACCAGAAAGCTGTCAGGTTTGGGACCAGGTGGTCCAATTTTGGGAGTGGGCATTACCTTATCTTACCTTATATTTTGGGAAGACGTTTTCAGGAGAACCTCTTATAAGTGAAGGAGAAAGAGAAGGAAATGAGAGGTCTCTACTACCTTTCACTCAAGTCCATATAAATATTAATGAAGTTGCAACTCTAATTTAATACCAGTGTTAATGCAACTTTGCACTTCTGAACATGATATGACCTGAAATACAGCATTGTTGCTTTATATATTTCAGTGGTTGATCTAAAAATTTTGCACATGCTGAAAAAAGATTGCATCCAATGACTCATAAGAGCAGCAATCATACCAAATGTGTTTCTTTTAATTGTCTATCTTTAACTATTAGTGTGATTTCATTGTTGAACAGAAGGATCTACAAATGTATATATAAAGCTTATATTATTTTAAAAATTCCATATGTTTTCTGAAAGTATTTAAAGTCATGTCATGAAACCGCTCAGACCACAAAGGGATGTGATCTGAGTTTTACCTAAAAATAAATCCTGGTGCTGCTCATCTCTTTTCTTGACTTTTGCTGCATAAATAGACTTCACTACATCCAGCTAGAAATATTTGCCTCAAGCAAAAACTGGCATAAATGGAAGTGAAATGAACTCCTTATGGACCTGGAATTGTGCCAACTTAGACACTTTCCATCACCTCTCCTGACATATTTACAAAGCTGGGAAAAGCCTACTGCACGAAGGCTGTGTTGTGTGCTAATTGGGACCTGTGTTCTGACAGTTCTTAAGAAACTCTTTCTGCTTAACCATAACTTGGAACCTAGCTTCCAGAATTAGATATACCCAACTGCTAGAAGACAAAGGCGCATACAGATAGTCCCCTACTTATGAACAGGGTACATTCCAAGAGGCTGTCCGTAAGTCTGTTTTGTTCGTAAGTCCAACCAAGTAAAAAGTAAAAAAAAAGAAGCAGCAGGAGGCAGAGCAGCGGTACAGGCAAAGGAGCCCTATTTTCTGCTGCCAGTGCGTCTCCAGATGAGGCAAAAGAGGGGGTGGTAACGGAGGAGAGGGGAGCGAAGGATGAGCTGGTGGGGCGCAGGTTGCTCTGTTGCTGGGCAAGGCAGGAGACCCCCCTCTGTCCTCTGCCACTGCCCCCTCTCCTGCCTTACCCAGCAGTGGAGCGTGCTACAAACTAACCCTTTCCTGCCATCCCGACTTCCGGCCTGACTTCCGGTTCTGTCTTCTGGGTCTACCTTGTTTGTATCGGTGAAAGTTTGCAATACGAAAGTTTGCAAGTAGGGGACTGTTTGTATTGACTTTTTAATGAAAAATAAGGGGATGGAACTCTGTTTTTACCTTAGCTAGAATTAGGAAGAATAACATTTCCCTAAAGAATGGAAGGTATTTTTCTATTCGTTACAGTCTTTTTCTATTAATTAACTTTCCAATTATTTTTTCCATGGTATTTTTCATTGGATGTTAGCTCCTTAGCTGACTAGATAGCAGAAGTCTTTGAACAGTTGCCCCTGAGCTGTTCTTCCCATTTTAAAAAGCTCAAAATGATCTTGACCCATCTATGTATTTGCTATGTCAGGCTGCTTGGTATATATTCAGGTAGACCAGTAATCTGTGTGTATGTTGGTACGAGCAATTTCCTTGCCTTACGTGCTTTCTTTTACTTTTCTTTTAATAGTATGTTTAATGATTGATTTTGAAACTTGGGCTAGATTGGTTTCCTGTATCCCAGTGGGGTGAGTCTCCTCCAGGCCTGAATTGGTTGAGTTACAGTACCAGTTTTATATCGGTGGGAGGTTGATTGGTAGAAGACTGAAAACTTGATTGACAGTTTCTCCTTACAAGTAGCTATGAGATTGTGTGATAGCATCAAAGAATTGTTTCCAGTCTATCTTAAAGAGCTGATATTGCAATGTTAGTCTCTGTGGCTTTGTAGTAATATATTGCTAAAAATATTTTTGTTTTTATGTTCTCTCCCTTAGATATATATTACCGAAGTGTGTGAGGAAGTTGATGCATCTTTCCTGAACTCTGAATTGCAGTTAGCTGGCCTTCGATTTTTAACCAATATCTCTGTTATTAATGACTATCATTACATGATGACTAGCTTCATACCAAATTTTCTGAACTTGTTATTTGAAGGAAATGAAAGAACTCAGGTACAATATTCCACTGTTCTATTGTTAAGTAGAAGAAGGAAAACTTTCAGTATTTAGTTTTTTTGGTTAGTTCTCTGTATAGGTCTAAATTACTTTGAAACTAAATAGTAAGAGTGCAAACAAAATAACCATTGATCTACAGCCAAGGTAGGGATAGATCATCCAATGTTTTAGATTATAATTCTTAATAGCCTTGGCAACTATAGCTAATCATAAGGATTATGGGAATTGTACTGTAATATTTCTGCCTACATTTGCGCTATAGAGTAGAAAATGTGTCTTGTCAATGTTTTTTTCCTGGAATGGAATAAGTGTAAAAGTGAGAATGCAATGTAACTATTTGGCCTTTCCAAACTTAAATAAAATCTTAGTCAAATCTAACTGGTAAGTCATGTAAACATGAATATTATAGAAACTGCTGGTTGATCATTAACAGAAAAACACTATTTGAATCACTCATAACTTCCCTACTAAGCATAGGAGATAGCCATGACTTCTTGGCACTTCAGTATTGATCTATAATTCTGAAAAAAATGGCTGTCAACATTCTGTTGAGATTTGGTTCAAAGAGTAAGGGATTGCAGAAGACAACAGTAATACTGCCCTTCCTGCTGCATTGCAATTCAGATTAACTTGTGATGCTACTGAATACAAGGGTGTCTTGACAGACCATCCTACATGTTACTCACTACCATGTTGTGTTGAGTTCAAATTTCAGTCAGATTTACTTTCTGATAATGGGAAGTCTTAGTTTTATCTAAGGCTATGTTTTTTGAACAAAAGGGCTCTTTCTGTTTGTGAAAAATCAGGAATCTGGTAGCACCTTTTCTGACTAACAAATTTTATTAAAAGGCAGTGAAGTTTTATTACGT